GTTAAGTTAAGTTATCTGACTGTCTGGCTGAATAATTAAGATAAAAAAATTCCCAATGAGGTTATGTGCTCTTTTCGCAGGGACTATATGGAAAGCAGCTCAATACATTTGATAACATTAAAAAGTTATTATGAAAATCTACTAAGGGAACATGAAAAGCTAGCAAACTGAGAAGCTAAGTGAAGCTAAACAACTGGATAAACAGCGGAAACACTTGGGAGAAATGAATGGTATGGTTGGTTCAAATCAATAGCATAGATACATTATGTCAATTATAAGCCAAGAAGTGGAATGGTTAATATTATTAGCTAAAGGCAAGTTAGAAATTGTTTAAATTCCCGGCTTAAAGTGATAACTAGTGATGAATGGTTCAAATAGAAAAAACATTTTGGAACATTTAATATCCACCAAATTTAATCCTGTTTAATATCAATACATATTAAAGTGTTTTGAACATGACACTGTGGTGTTAATAAAGGCTGTTAGAGTCTGATAAACAAGGCTGGGAATCCACACAGACAACGGTTTAATCACTGAAATACTATGGTGATAATTTATAATTTCAGAAGACATCTGACCTTACACAAGCCTTTTTTTAAAGAGGAGGGGAGGATTACAGGATGTCTACATGCATTAATCTGTAGAAAGGTTGAAGCTACATTGCCATTAGTTTGGAATCCATCAGGTTCTCTAATTGGGCCTGGGGGCTTTTGTGCTGCTGAGCCTGCATGGGCGTCACCAACACACACAGTAATGAGGCGGCTTCTTCCCTGCAACCAGTGATAAATGACAGGGGGCCATAATGGCTCCGCTCAAGTGATTGACAGCTCAGTGAAGCATGACTCTGCCCTGTGATCCTGTGAGCATTCAAACACATAACATATTGTATGTTTATAGTGAGCAATATTGCTGGACAGTGTTGAAAACTGCTTGTATAGTTAAAATGTTAACCACAGTGTTTGCATACATTTCCAGAAGTCACCAATGTCAACAGTATCACACCAATCATTGATGATGAGTCAATGACTGGCAAGTTATTGTTTGGCTCAAGTTTCATATGTTTCATTATATAGGCATTCTATAAAGATAGGGTTAGAATATATATTGATGGTGGGTTTACCCAGTGTTTGTTCAAACATAATAAAATATATTAGCAACACTACAGCATTCCAAGGTGCAAATAGCAAATCAATAATACTTAATAGTGAACATGCCCTGCTTATAAAGTGCATCACAGTAGTATGTGTGGCTTGATGATTAAGTGATTTAACCATCAGCTCAGATGTGTTTCTGCTCATAATATGATAAACATGAATGTTTCTGTACAATATGTTGTAGTGACAAACGTCACAGACATTGTTGCCAAAGAGTTTCCAAAGCTACTCAGCAAACAAACAAAAACCTGCAGCATTTAATTTCTTAATGTTTAAAGTGAAATAAGTCACTTTTAATGCATTGTACATAGACTGCAGTGCATATACCTAGTTACTAGCCTTCCTATTATGTTGATATCCCAACTGGTTAGCTACACAATTTGAACATTTGACAGAATAAATAATAATTTATACACACAATTTTAACACAGGTGATACTAGTACTATGCTCATACCTGTTCTCCTCAATGTGTTGTTCTTCGGTTTAATTCCCCAATTCCACCGAGTTATCTTGCTGCTTCATGTTAATAATGCTCTCAGCATTATCCAGGGGATCCTGAAAGCCTGTTCCTGACATGGTACCATCACTTTCGAGAGAAAGCATCCTTTTTGACAAGCTAGCAGTTAGCAATGTGTTCCTGGGTAACTAGGCTAAGCTACTCCAAGTTAAAGCTAATTGTTTTATCACAGGTTTGGTTATACAAATTTACATTTTTTTTTAAAAGGTAGACTTTCCTAGGTGTGTTTTCAAAGATAATTCATATCGTTTATGGTCACGACAGTTACTATCTACAAACTTCTGGAAACTACGACCAAGTTACAACAGTACTGATGGCAGCTATGACAACAGGTGGGCCTAATTAGCAATCAGCGCATGCGCATTGACGTTTACCCAGACTCAGGCCTTCACATTTACTCAAGTAGGCTACTGTACATACATTGAGGCACTTTCACATTATGCTACTTACACTTTTACTCCACTACATCTTGTAGGCAAATATTTCGCTTTTTACTTTCACTACACTATATCTGACAGCTTTGGTTACTTTGCGGATTTTGGTTATTAATGCAAAATATAAGTCAACTCATTACATTATTATTTATTATTTATTATTATATGTTAATCTACTCAGTATACAGTAAATAGAGAATCTCAAATGAACCCATCTTTTACCAAATGCAACATTGAAGTGATGAACACATTAATGCATCAATAATTAAAATGACTTATTTTTAAATATTAGTTAAATACAATAATTTTATATTGTGTTTAAATGGGCTATCATGCATAATGAGTACTTTTATATTTTGATGATAATACTTTTTAATCAACATTAACAAAGTATTTTTATACTGAAGTAATGCTACTTTTACTTCTTCCACCATTGCACACCATGAAAAACAACATTAAAATGTTTACCTTCATACATTAATCCATAATAATATTATTTTTGTTCGTTCTTTAACTACTCTGTAGGCCTACCACTAAAACCACACTTTTTTTATGCCAACAGGTGGGCTATTTTGCATTCCAACATAAGTGATGTCACTCACTCAGTCAAGTTTATCTGTTGTCCAAAATCTTAGCAGTAGCCTACTGGCCACCTTTCTATGAAATTGTCTGTGAATATTCGTAGTGGATAATGGTTCATAGGCAGGAAACATAGCAACAGACTTTGGCAGGGACAGAGGAAATTAGAAGAGAGAAGAAATCACAAGAAAGACACAGAGCAGTAGTGGAGGGGAAGCGTTGAGGCCATCTGGTTTCTTATTAAAAGAAGCCAACTCCAGTCCAGTTCAATGGGTAACATTCAATTAGACATTGATTTTTCTATTGCTTTCACCATATCATCCTGTGTAGATCAAGGAAACAATTATTATTCTACCTTCATTATTTTGAACTTCCCAAATGTAATAAGCGAAGCCCAAGACCAGGCTCAAAACCAGAGGGCACCGAGCCTTCGCAGCAGCTGGCCCTAGGCTCTGGAACACTCTGCCCCTCCATGAGGTCGGCCCAGACCCTAGGGGTTTTTAAATCAAAACTAAAAACACACTTCTTCTCCTTTCTAGTTAGAGCGGAGCACGACTCCTGACTTTTCCGTATGTTTTATTTTTATTTTGTTTTTTAAGATATATCTGTTGTAATTTATTGTCGTTTATTGTGATTTGTAGTAATGTGTTTTTATTACATGTACAGCACTTTGGCTCGACCAAAAATCGCTTTTAAATGTGCTATATAAATAAAACCTGATTTGATTTGATTTGATTTGAACCACTAATTCCAAGTTTTAGACTCTCCTCTAATTTCTCATTCATGCCTCATGGATAGGCTTTGCATTTGTTTCAGTTTATTCAGTAGGCAGCATTTCTTTTTTATGTTATTCATTATCTTGAGTTTTATACCACTGAGTACCCAACCTTTTTAAAACAAACCAAATAGGCTCCAAATTATTGTTTTGTGCCACAACAATGGCACTAAAGCAGGTCATACAATCATTACCAAGTATTTGGCTGCAATTTGGCATCCGTGCTAGTTCTCTGTCTACATTTCCTTCCGCTTTGGTTTTCTGGTAAACTAACCAATGTTTTATAGAGTCCTGTTCTCATTTCATTTTCTAAACCACAAAGATTTCACATCATTTTAAAACGATTCAGCGCCATGTCTTCAGAAAGGGTTTATGATGGATTTGTTCTATATGTGCGTCTTGTTTGGACATTAAATTACATGCATAAACAAAGCAAGATATTTAAATGTATTTTAAATGTGGGGTACTTGACAAATATAATGTAAAGTATATAATGAATACACACATTGCAGATCTTGAACACTCAAAAATGAATACAGAGCGTTCATAGTGGATTGTAATGATTAAAGGGGAGATTTTATTCCAAATATTGTATTTTTACCCCACTTCATTTATGTAGTACCTTAAGTTACTTTGCATATGATATAAAACATAATCAGCACTTCAATAAGACTTTAGTTACACTTGGACTAAATTCACAAAACACCCAGCAGTAACCAAAATAATAAAAACATAGTTCCACCTTTACCAGTTATGATGAATATGCATCAATAATCATTATGTACTATTTTGAAGTGGGTCGATCTACATAATGAGTACTTTTACTGTTGGTACTTTAGTTATATTTTGATGCTAATACTGTTGTACTTTTACTTGAGTAAACATTTTTTGAATGCAGGGCTTTTACCAGAGTATTCTTACTCTCGGGTACTTCTACTTTTACAAGATAATTACTTCTCCCACCTCTGCATTACACAGATCTTTGAGGCCATGGCACTGGCATAAGGACAACTCAACACAAATATGTAAAAGCATATTTCAATTAAAACTAGTAGTAGTAGTATAATCCATCACTGTTTGAAGTTACTTTGGTAGAACTTTAGGGATTCTGACTGTATGACAGGGAAGTTATTAAATAATGTATAAAAGTAGGTCTAATGGCGTTGGACTTTGCAGACTATCCATGCTCACAAGTATTCCAGCTCGAAGGAAGGCGAGTATTGGCTTGTTTCATTGACAATTGGGTTGTTAGGTGACTTAATTTGTGTTTTAACAACGATTTGTTTACGAGATATTGATCCGTAGAGTTCGAATCCGTCAGTATCTGTCTAACTTAACTGAACTCCTACACGCTGCTGTGGGCAACCCACGTAGAGAAAGAGCTACGTAATCTCCCTCTCTGTGTGTGTGTGTGTGTGTGCGTGTGTGTGTGTGTGTGTGTGTGTGTGTGTGTGTGTGTGTGTGTGTGTGTGTGTGTGTGTGTGTGTGTGTGTTGTGTGTGTGTGTGTGTGTGTGTGTGTGTGTGTGTGTGTGCGGCGCTTGCAGCCGTGACAAACCACAGACAGACAGACAGACAGACAGCAGAGTCTCTTCTCGCATCAGCATCACGGGGTCTAATCGCTCTTCTCGATCGTGTAGGAGGAGGCGTCTGTCAACCCTGTGGAGGTCTGTCTGTCCCTCTGTCTGTGTCCGTCTGTCTGCTCGGGAGGCACCACACACTCGTCCTTCGTCTTTAGAGTAGGCTAGTTGTAGTTTGGAGACGATAAACCGGTTTTACTACCTTTTGGGAGAATCTCTGCTGTCATCCCGGAAGACTCATCACATTCTCGTCGTAAAGGAAGTGAAAGCGAACAGGTGCGTGAGCCACATTTATCAATTGTTTTAATCAATTATCTAGAAATATCAGCTCAAGAGCTATTTAATTTCTCTATATCACATTGCAACATGATACTAGATCAGTTTTCTTTAATGGTTAGTGAATCCATTCATGTTTTTCTCAGTGGGGCTGTAACCAGATCCTACAGGTGGGATTTCAGCTCCCTCATTCGCTCAGATATTTCACACGGCGATACTGGCTTGACAAACCTGTTTTAGACAAAAGTAGGGCGGTGGCATTTTTGTCTTGTGAAACGTTTTAATACCAAGCGCTTGGATCCGGGAGTGCCTTCTCATTGCGTCTGTTTTACCATCCTCACACAGTTGTGCGTGTTCATATTGGAGCCAATAACCACAGCAGCCATGGACGCTTTAATGAAAGGTTTCTCTAAAGCCAAGGATGGGGTCGTGTTGGCGGCGGAGAAAACCAAGCAGGGAGTGACTGGAGCAGCTGAGATGACGAAAGATGGGGTTATGTTTGTAGGTGGGTACTGGCAATTGATTTGATTGATCATGGTAAACCTTTAAATCCTTGATGATTGATTTTTTTATTATCAATATCATCATTATCATAGCAGTATTCTGACTATTAAGCATTTCATATAGGCTACTGTCTATTATGTTCACATTTTCACTGATTGAGCTTCACCTGCTTTCTTTTCAGGTAACAAAACAAAGGATGGAGTCACAACAGGTAACACTACATTTCTATTCTAACGTAATGTAACTGTTACTCTCTTGCTGCTCTGAAAAAAGATCAATGTTCACATTTCCAAAATACACCACTTTCTTTACGAGTAAATCTTTGAAATAAAAGCAAAACGATAGTATTCTCACTGGAGGTGGTCAGTAATAGAGTTGTATACTCTGCAGGTGAGTAAGTGTCATATTTCACCGCCTACAAAACCTGCCCAACTCCCAATGGGCCATGCCTTGCCATTTCTCATAAATAACAAGCAAAGAAGCCACAGGAGACTTCATGATATAGGCATCTAGGGGAATAGTATTGTTGTATCATAGCTGCAAGTGAAAGTGAGGGTTTTGAAAATGTGATTATACAGAATGGGTTTTTATAGACACTAAATGAGGGAGAATATTTGTTATCAGTGGGACCAAGTAGCCTACATTGGGGATCGTGATCCTCAGTAGAGCAGCTTTGTTGTGAATGGATATATTAACTAAACATTTCTATTACTTACTTATAAGTGTGAATGAAGCCTCACTGGATTAAACAAAACACATCTACCAGAAGCCTTTCCCATCACAACAAGACATTTACATAAAAGTAACAAGATGAACTCATATGCAAAATCCCACATTACAATAGTAGCCTACAAACGTTGATAGGCGGGGTGAAACTCAGTGAAGTCTTTGAAATGCCTCCAGGCTGTTTGTGAGGTTGCTCAGTTAATGTATTGAAACTAAAGGTAATAATAGAGTCTTTAATATCTCTATAGGGTTAATCTATTTAATTCTTCTTTTTCTTCTTCAGCTGTGTCTGGAGTGTCTCAGGTGGGTGGAGCAATGGTTACTGGGGTTACCGCTGTGGCCCACAAAACTGTAGAGGGTGCAGGAAACATTGCTGCTGCCACCGGATTGGTCAAGAAGGATCCTGCCAAACAAGTAAGAAAGATACTCTTTGTTTTAAGCTGAACTGAAAGAAAAATGGCCTCTGGAAAAGCCCAGCCAGTTTGATCATCAATTTAAATTTCAGTGAAAAATTACAAGTTACAATCTCATACATTTGTGTTCCTTGTTTAAGTGGTACCTATGGAGATAAGTGAGAGTCAGTGATAGACTCAATCGCCATAATGTTACTTAATTCAGTGAAATATTGTGACTTAACTGACATGTAATATCGCCCCAATCATTACTTCCGTACTTACACACTAACCACATGCTCACACTTCTCTAGAGACACATTGATTTACAATATGTAGCACATCTTTAAAGTTTGCGTTATAGAACATCCCTCCATTTCATGACAGAGGCTGTCAGCTGTCTTCCCCGTGCCAAGATGGCCTCCTAACCTTGAGTCATTTGTTGTCACTTCTCATATCGCCTGTGTGGCATCTGTAATGAAAGCCGCTACATAATGTTAGCTTTCCTGCTTTGTTCATCTTGTCAGCCTGGCCATCGTTTATCTAAAGGAGGAGGTGAAGGCAGTTTACTGTAGCAAACAATTTGCTGCTGCGAAACAACTCAAATACAAAAAAAAAAAATTTTACACTTTTCTTTTCTACCCTCACCTTTCTCAAGCAAATATTTGCTGCTGTTATTGTAGACTTTTTGCTCACAGCCAACACTGAGGCCATGTCTTTGTCCAGGTTATTTTTTACTGGGAATTTAGGGCTGTTGATGGCTTCACAAAGAATAATACTGCAAGTTAACATGGTAGTTAACAGTGTACATATTTTATGTAAATGTTTTGTGAGAAAGGCCATTCAACACCTGAAGGATACATGCATCAGTGTACAACATCCCTAAACAAAAATCCGTAAACAAATCTTTACATTAGAGGAACACTCGTTTTTTTACGCTCTTTCGTTGACCAACTATAGCAGTAACATCGCCCTATGGTTTGTATCGCGATAAATATGGCTTAATTATCCTGGGATTACCCTCTTTATTCTCATAAGATTGCTGACAGGAGTAGGAAATGATAAACCAGCTAAATGTCTCCCTGGGCAACAGCATCACTTTATTGAATATTTGTTGTGATGCTTCATCTCGATCCCCTAATTAGTGAAGAAACACAATTTGAACACCACGAGATAACAGCACACACACACTTTTCTTCAGCTCTGCTTTAATTTGCTGTTTTGAGTGAAAAGATCAGATTAGACACCAAATAAATGATCATAGTTCTTTTATCGTAGCGATGAAATCATTCTTCACTACCGCTTTCATCCTTCATTGCTGGCATTTTATTTCATTATCAAAAGAAGCTTGTTGTATTTCCCACAAACATCCATTGAATTATTTTATCCTCGTGAGTGGTTGTGTTATCAAGGCAGGTAGATAGTTGATATTCACCCTGAGGGATAAAATACTGATGGAGCTCCACCTGGAGTGTGATCAGTCTCATTAAGAAAAACCATGACGAGCCAAGCTGGCAGGCAGCTCGGACAGACAGATGGACAAACAGACCAGGAGTGGAATGAACACACATAACAAAAGCTAAATCCTGGTATTCATGGCGAGAGATTGACACGCTGACAGCAGCAGATTGAGCTCATTTATCCTTTATTCCCAGGTGGTGCAGCCATTAAACTTCATTAATATTGATTTCATTTTAAAAAATTGATGCCGGGTTGAGAGGGCCCATCAAAGACTGTCTCCTGTGACAGACACACACACACGTAGACACACCAAACGGAGGTGTCTGATTAATCTCATTTAGCTGTTTCACCAATTCAGCAGCTGCTGGTGACTCATTTCAAGAGACAGAAAAGGCCAGAGGTAGAAGGAGAGGAAAATGACAATGAGACCGAGAGTGGAAGCTAGAGTGGCTCGGAGCTGAGGAGGCAGAAAATAGAAAATGGTCTTAACAACAAACACGTCTTATTGCTCGGATCTTTTCAGCGACATGCAATAAAAGAGGATGCTGAATTTCATGTCCCTAGAAAGCAATTTCTGCTCTAAAACAATTCAGATTGGAGGCGAGGCATTACTTTGATTTTGCTTCGTAAGACAGTTTTCACATATAAATTTGATTTGGTAATACCTCATAACTGAACAAATCTTTAACTTTTTGACTAAATTGTATCTGGCTACAGTAGACACGTTGGTGTTGATGTGTGTGTGTTTACACAAGCACACATCTCTCCGGCTCTGCTGGGTAAACAGATGGAGGCTCGATGGGTGGTGTTAAATCCAGCAGCAGGAGGAGAAGGTGCTTCAGGGTTTAAGGTCATGTCAGCGCTGGCGAGCGCGTCACACACACACACATGTGCACACTTCACATACTGGGACCGCTCCCTATTAAGGAAGGTCATTTCAATGGCACGGTGTAATCGGAGCGTCCTTTCAGCGAGACAGGAGACGTCACACACACCTCCACCTCCCTCCCCTTCATTAGCGCTTCAGACCAGCATCCCACTCAGTCAGAATGGCCACCAATCATAATGTCCGTCATGAAATGAGTGCCTTTTAATGTATTAATAGACAAAGCAAGAGTGGGGTGAATTATGTGAGTTGTTTATATTTAAAAGTGTTGTATGAAATTGCATAAATGATGGCATAATGGCAGTAAGTGCTTCCAGATGTTGTTCTCATCGTCTGGAGGTACGTCTGTGTCTAGGGGGTGCAACTAATGATTAGTTGATTGATTGATTCATCTGCTTATGAGTATTTTTTTACATGTGTTATCTCTATACACTTTAAAAATAGGAAAGGAAAATGCTAATGCTTTTTTCCCATACTCCAAAGTCAGTTGCAAAACGTTACACTGAGAAGCTGGAACCAGATAATTTGTTTTCTTTATCAACTGATGTCTCATCAAACAAATGTATTTAAAGTTTTAAAAAAATATATTTTTGTCTTTTCCCAGACTGACGAAGCTTTAGCAGTACAGGACATGGCAGAGTCACCGGTTGATACTGACCCCGCTGATGTTACAGAGGTAAGACTAGCAACAGTCAATAATAATGACTACATGAAGCTGCATTTCATTCTTATAGAAGGATTAGTGAATTGACAGTCAGACCATTTTAAAGCGATGTTTAAAAGCAGTCTCGGGACCTTGAGACATTCAAAATATATAATTGAGTCCACATTCATCTGAGTACTCCATACATAAAATAAGATGTTATTTAAAGCTGAAGGAGCTACTGGATCATGGGGTTATATTTGCATACTATACCACTCATTTCAGCGCCCGTCTTTTGTCCTTCTTCTTTCTCAGGACGACGATGATTGAGATCTTCACAATGAAAGAGCAAAGATCCGTTATCGAAGATCAATGATCGAAACATTCCATGTCGCTCTGCCAAGTCCCGTTGTGCCTCGTTTTGGTCCTTTATGGAGTCTGTGCCCAACGTTTGTGTGCGTGTGTGTTTCTGTCTGTGTGTCTGTACAGCAGTGTATGTGTAATGTTGTAAAGAAAGAGGTGAGTGTGTGTGTGTGTGTGTGTGTGTGTGTGTGTGTGTGTCTTTTACACATCAGTCCTAAAAGGGACCAGATGTCATTTACAGTGTGTATGTGTTTGTCTTTATGTATGTTTCTTGTCAACTGTATGGCTATGTCAATAACTCAAACATGGAAATGTACCACTTCAAGCACCTAAGTGTCTCTATATAAATTACCAATTTACAGTAATCTGTTTGAAATGGAAGCATAATGATAATCTCTATTTTTGTCTGTAAACCGTCACTGTTTTTTGCGGTGGACTATATAAAGTGCTAAGCTATTTGTGCATTCATATTGTATTTTTTAAGTTATCACTGCTGTAACAAAAATGTCATATTGAATGGACTTTTGGAAACCAAGAGCATGTACAACTACTCTGCTTGTGATATGGATTTATTTGGAGTTAAATGTTTAATAAAATGTGTAAAAAAAAGAAAAAGTGAGATGTTGCTGATGTTTTCTTTTTCATTTAGTGATTCCCGTTTTGATCATTTTTTCAGAAAAATAAATAAATTGATATTTGTATTCACACTATAAATGCAACAAAATCACTGCAAGCCTAAACTAAGACAATGTAACATGTTGATGCCTAAACTCTGCATGTCAAGCCGCCTATCCCTCTCCTTATCTAATGAGGAACTAGGTTCAAAAACAGCCAGCCACAATAACGTGTGTCTTTCTGTCAGTAAACCAGTTGTAAACCAAAAACATGTTCCTGTTCAAAGGATTTGAATATATCTGGCAAGAATATAAGAATGTGTGATTAAACGTACTGTTATTTTCATCAGAGGAAAAGATGTCTTTAAAGGCAGCAATCTTCCTGCAGATTTTGTAATAACAAAAACATGTTCTTTTGTTATTACAAAAGAACATGTTGGCCTTGATGCAGGCTCTATAACGTGAGAGAGGTGGAGGAATACTGTCGTTCACAATCACTACACATCCATCCACAGCCGCACCACTCCAGAGCAGGTATTTCACATTTGGCTTAATTTGAATGTTCTCCCAAAAAATGAAAGCATGTTTCATTTCTTCCAGATTTAAAGACAGCCTTTGTGAAGCACTCCAGCAGTTTACATAAAGATCTGTGCTCCCTAGAAACAGAGTGAGTCATTTAAATTCTACTTTTCACTTCCAATTGGTACTAATGAATCCTGCAGAGAGCCCTGCACTTGTTATTGTATAAACCTGTCAACTAGTGTTTCCTGTGTGGTCCCTGCTGACTCCCCCTGACTCCTTGTTGTTATTGTTCACCGCGGCTCCATATAGAGACGGCCACTGTGAACACAACATGACGTTGAGGATTTATATTGTTTTCTGATTTATTTTGACCAGAGCTAAGAGGATCCCTGAACAGAACGCTGCTGACATTTTGGGAGAATAGATGTTTTTGTGCATATTATATGTATTATACACTTAGTGAAAGGGCTGGAACTTTACATTTGACTGGATTTGTTTGTTTATCAACTTTATCAGTTTTGTCTGAGAAATAAATGGAAAATAGCAGCCATGTACTTAAGTCCTAAAGTCAATTAATGACTGTGGTACTTGAGAAGATGGTCATGATCCAGTGGCCATTTCTTTCTCCAGATTTCATTCAGAAGAGCATATATCGAATATAGAGCATATATCTCGGGTAGCTGGACACACTGTATGTTTTACATTTATATTTAATATTCCATTCCCTACAATCTTAATGTATATAATTTCCTGCTTTTGGGTGGCAGCAGCTCAGTCTGTAGGGACTTGCCCCTGGGACCGAAGGGTCACCGATTCGAAGTCCCAATCGACCAAAAAACCACGAAGTGGACTGGTAGCTAGAGAGGTGCCAGTTCGCCTCTTGGGCCCTGCCGAGGTGCACTTGAGCAAGGCACCGAACCCCTGACAGCTCCCAGGCGCCGGCTAGACTGGCATTCTCTTCGCTCTGGCCCTCTCCAGATGCATGTGTATTCTGTATAGTGTGTATAACTGTGTGTGTATTGCATGTGCATGTGTGCCCCTACCTGTATACTGTGTGTGTATTAAACAAAAATACAAGCCAGAGTGAAAAACTGTATTTCCCCCTAGGGCAGGGGTGTCAAACTCAATTTCATCGCGGGCCACATTCGCATTATGGTTGCACTCAAAAGGGCCGGTTGTAACATTAAGACTATATAAAGATACATATATAAATATTTAATATATATAAAATAATGTATTATATTACATTATTGCCTCTGCATTGGATTGTTATCGGATAAGGTAATAACTTCATAATTAACTAGGTCTGAAAGCAGAAGTCTAGGGCAAATAATTGCAAGTCTCTTCAGTGAGAATGTCACAAAATGATTTAAAAAGAAAAGCACATTCTGGAAAAAAAGTCAAAATAAAGAAAAAGGCATATTTTGAGAAGCATTTTGCTACATGTATGGGCAACGTGCTTCTGTAAATCGCCATGTAACCATATAATAAACATATTATATTCTTTGCAAGCTCTTGTGGGCCACATTAAATGAAGTCGCGGGCCGGATTTGGCCCCCGGGCCTTGAGTTTGACACCCCTGCCCTAGGGGGATTAATAAAGATTCATCTGCTTCATTATATTGTGTCTAAAGCCCTTCAATAGTGTTTTATTGTCAGAGTATATCGATGTTTTACCTTCATGGTCTACTGTATATTTTCTAGTGTTGTTTATTTCTACTCTTATATAATATCTACTTATGTGCAATGTCTTGTTTTGTTGTTTTTTATAATGCTGCAACGCAAACATTTCCCAATTTGGGATCAATAAAGTACCTCTTATCTTATCTCGATGTCTATCTATCCTGACACTACACATAGCTGTCGTTTCATTCTCATTTTAAAACATTTAATAAAGTAAAAACTGGCTCCTCCCCCTCATAAGACGCCCACTGAGCAATGCACACGTTTTATGTAACAGTTCAAGTCATGAGGTTAGCATTGCCCTCTACCGAGCATTTGACTTAGTAATGATTGTACATATTCATCAGGGTTGGAATAAACATAAATATTGACTTAACTGGAGAAACATAACAATTATTGATGGAAAAGAACAGTCATTTATTTGTTCTGTATTCAAGCACATAATAGGGATGGTTTCTGAGGAGAATAAAGGAATAAGGAAACCCAGTAATCTCTGTTGTGTTGACTGACACGTCCAACAACAGTATCCCGATCGTCACATAATATTTGACAACTCTTTGCATTTCTGACAGCGATTTGACAATCTAAAATGCATGTTGCAATAAAGAAGGTAAATGTATCCTCTTGTGATTAAAAATGAATCTTTTAAGCACAAAACAGTTCCCAGTTCCACCAAATTCAACCTTGTACAGGCTGTTGGATGTCCATATGACGGGAAACAGGTGATGGAGAGAAGCGATGAAGACTTTCACTTGTTCTTCCTCCTCTTCAGGGCCTTCCACTCTCCCTCCTGAGTGGCTAAGCTTCCGAAGAGCTCCCTCACCTTCTTCTTTCTCTCCGAATCTCTGAAAGGCAGAACGAGTCGACAGTTAGAAGCTTTCACTAACAGAAGCATTTTAGAGAAACATTTTGGTTCACTTCCTCATGGATTCTGGTGTTATCCGTACCTGTCCATGACCTCGTTGAGCTTCTCTCTGGCCAGGAAGCGCGTGTCCTTCCTGATCTCCCTCAGAGCGCCCTTGAACTCCTTCTTGTACTTGTGCTTCAGTCGCTCCCTCTCCCTCTCCTCTCTGTTGCTTCCACGCTTCTTTCCATAGTCCAATCTGAAAAATATTAAAGAAGCAGATTAGATATTTATAACAGAGGCACAGCTAGCAGGTCAGCATCTCAGCTTTTGGAAATCATTTCAACACAAATGAAAACGTTTGTACTCATTTCACACTTACATTTCAACAATCTTGGGTGTGAGCAGCTTCAGAGGAATGGGCTTCCTCTTCTCTAAAACCAGCCGACTGTGGGCCGCAGGAACACCGCTGATGATCTCCAGGATCTCACTGTGGAGCTCCTGCAACAACACAAGTGTTAGAAGTGAGAAAAAACTGACCATATGATATGTTGAGAGAAAAATTGAAAAAGATAGATCTTGCTATTTCAAAACAACTATGACACCAACCTTCAAAGGATCTGGTAACGCTTGGGCTGAAAGATGTTTGGAAAGCAGCGTTCTGATTGGCTGGAAGATGTGTGAGAAAGACATGAGGTCTTTGTAGAGCAGGCAGCAGCGCTTTACCAGGTCCAGGCAGGTAGACAGACACGTCAACCTGCAGAGAGACAAAAACATGGATCAACATCTGTTTTATTTTATTTGGTCTTTGTCTCGTGTTATTAGCCTCCTTAGCAACAGCGCTATCACACCCATAGCAAAGGCATTAATGTGTCTTTTATTTGTAATAAGTAAATGTGGGTTGTTCTTATGCGTTTTATAAAAAATGTGACACAGCCGTGCTTTGAGCTTGCTTTCTGAATGTTACGATGCCCGAAACAGGGTGATTTTACATGTCATTTTTACCATGTCTGATCCGGATGTTATTACTTAGAAATTAGTATACATTTAAATTTGATATGTTGGTTCTAGATGAAAGAGAACCATTAAATATTACAATGCATCCTGAGGGGGCCATGAATGTACCAAACCATCATGGGAATCCACCCAGTAATTGTCGAGAAATGAAACCCTTAGCCTTGTAAAGGCAGAAATAAATCAAGGGGTCGTGAAAACAGAGGATATTTCATCAGAAAACATAGATGTCTGTACAAAAAGCTTGTGCTAATCAATCTGGACTAAAGTGGTGGCACGACAAACAGACAGGCCAAAGATAACAAAATATTTAATGAGCGAGAATCAGTGGGCATGTAGAAAAAAAAGTTCACAGAAACACTGAGCAACCTGACGGCCAGAAGAGATGCATAACAGTTAGAACATTAAACGGAAGCTCCTTCTACCGTTTCTAGTAGAAGATCTACACACACACACACACACACTCAGAGAGTAGAGGCAAGCATCTGTGTGATTTATTAAGATTTCAAATACTATAACAGCTGCTGCTTTGAAAAGAAAGCATTGGATCAATTAGTCTATGCTCTCTTGAAATGATTCGACAGAAAATCCAGATTTATTAGAATTTCTAATCGCTCTATCCGATGTTAAACACATAAATGATTAAAATGTACTTATTTCTTTGACAAATAAAGTCATTTCTCTCCGACACAATCTGTTATATGTATTCATTTTTGTTGGGTAGAAATAAAAATGTATATTCCCAGGAATAATCGTGGTCTGCTGAAGCCTGTTTGCATGCTCTGCTTTGAGCCCACACACCAGCTGCTGTGTGAAAGCACGCTGCGACTCATCAGAGTCACGCGAGTGGCTGTATCAGCGCTGAGCCATACCGTCTGCACAGGTAAACACAGTATGATGGCTTATCTCGAACACATTACATGTAAATCACTGAAATTCCTCACAGCACCACAGGAAATGCACATTAATATAAAACGATATAAAGCAAATGGTTAAAGAATGATCTGTATGAGTGCATTTGTCCTGTTTGCAATAGAACAAATTAGCCTTCTTCTTTTATTAAAAGGTAATTCATCTGCCAATCCTCCTCTCCTCTTGTTTTCTTTGGTGGGAATATTCTGGTCCAAACTGATTGTGAGAATCTGTGTGAAGACAAAACGTTTTCTCACTTCATCCCCCTCCCTCTATTCCTACTGGGCCTATAATAGAGTGCCACAGTGACGCGTCCTAAAACCCGGAAGTAAGCTGCGCATGGGTTCCTTCGATCCTATCATAAATCTATCGATTAGAAAATTAGGGTAGACATGTGGAGATTATCCGACTGAACAAAATGTGATCCGTCTCTTAAATGCGTGTCAACCACAGACCTTATTTCGAGCTATTTTCCAAAATCATATGGAGAAATTGCACTGCTTTTTTGTCGAAGGAACCCATGCGCAGCTTACTTCCGGGGTTTAGGACGCGTCACTGTGGCACTCCATTGTCTCCGAGCAAGTGTTCACTCCTGTGATTACATGGTGAGGGTACACACTCAATTCTGAATGGCCAATCGAGGTATTAGGAAATCTGTGCAGCCTGCATGTCTCTGTGGGTCAGCGGTATATACAGACGGGTATGCACAAACATTGATCACATGTCCACATTACATTAAATGATGTATGAGTCTCTCCAGTCCATACAGGCTGTGAAGACATCCCTTCCAAAACTATTTCTCCAATGATAGAGAGTAGGTGGGAAAAAACCCTCCTCCCCTAATGAAGCTCAAATGAAACCTCAGCTACATGAGAAAAATCCAGTGGGGATCTTCCAAAGTTAAGTGTTTTAACTCTACAAAATGTTGTAGAAATTCTCAGTCACCACCAACCCCCCCCCCCCCCCCCCCCCCCCCCAAGCATTTCCCCTTGATATGTTGTAGGATAGACTTGGAAAACATTTCTAAAAACCTATCCTTAAATTAAAATAGTGTTTCAAGAGTATAGTTAGCCTACTTAGTTAATTCTATACAACGACTGAAGATTAGTAATTACTGATCGTCTTGTTTTTTTGCTATATATAACATTTTGTAGAATACTGTAAAATAGATGTCTTGTCTGTCCCCTCCTACCTGTGGTGGTCTTTGTCCAGGTTATTTTTCAGCTCCAGGTGTTGGGCCGCAGACAGTGGAAGGCTCTTCTGGCTCCAGCTCTTGCAGGACTCAGAGTCTGACACCACCAGCAGATCGCTGCACTTCCCTGAAGGCCTGAAGGGCGGCACCACGATGTAACCTGCAAGACAGAGGTCAAAGGGCATGAGAGCGGAGTCCCCTACGAATTGAGTAGTATTTAAATGAGTGGTTAAACGCAAGTCCTTTTTGGATTTGGCGAGTGTCTTTATTTATGAAATCAACTTCCTTTGATTAGTAAGCAGAGCAAATGATGCTTGATAGAGTCGTGGAAATGTGCCGTTAAACATGATAGTGCGTGTACCTAGAGAGGTCTTGTCCTGTACAGCCAGGTGTAGCGTTCCAGCCAGGAAGTTGATGAGCTCAGGCAGGAAGCGCTTTGAAAAGGAGACGTACTCCACCGCCAGACAGCACAGCACTAACCCTGACGTCACGTCCTGTAGGGATCTCACTGGACACTGAAGACATACAAAATACACACAGCAAAAAATAATGGCAAAATTGCTAAAAGAAAAACAGACATCCATTCATACCACATCTGCTTTAGGGATTGCAATCATCTAACACAATTACCATGCAAGATTTTAAAAGATAGGAAAACAGTGGAGCTTTATGTGCTTTTGAAAACTTAGAATGGAAAATGTGTAAGGTGTACGACGTCATTTTTGTGAGAAAATCCACACAAAAATGACTTGTGATAGCAGGAAGGCTGAATTGAAACAGAATGAGGTATGGTGAAATCTCCTTAGAAGCCAGTACAGTCAAAACATTTAAAAACAAGCTTTGAATATATAGACAATAACAAAAGAAGACACTTTGTGTACCTTGGTGAGAGCCTGGCTGATGTACAGCAGCGCAGGAGTGGTGACCGGGTGTCTGAAGTCTGACGTAGGAAACAGAAGGGCTGTCAACTTCAGGTAGACGATCTGAAACACCAAAAAAAAACATCCTGAAGCTGCATTTGTCATAAACTGAGGAAGAACCTTTTCCATTTAACAACAATAGCAAAGGCAACATTTCATCTGATATCAAAAGGATGTTTTCTCAAGAAAATACAATTGAGGTTGTCGTCAAGAAACACTAGAATAACACATCCAGCAAATGTAAATTCAAATGTCACTACATTTTTATTTTGGTTTCTACTTTATTGTAACCCCCTCACATGCCAGAATGAGCTTACGGCAGTCAACTAACATATAAACATCTCAAATCTACTTCCACCCTGGTGAACATTCAACACGTTTTCACTATTCACTGCAGTGCATACCATGTCTAGTGTTGGGAAAGGAAGATGCCCTTTGACCTCGAGCACCTCCCCCGTGCTGTGTCCAGCGTCTCCCAGGATGCTCTGCATGGTCTTACAGGCTGCTTCCGGAAACATCTGACACAAAGTGTACAACTCTCTACAGAGAGAGAGAACAGGAAGGAATGATCAGGTGTGTTTCATTTCTAGGACAATTTTATTTAAGGCAGAAGGTAAAGCATAAGAAGGAAAGCCACTTTTTGAACTCACGGTATGAGCTTATCAATGGTGGTGAGTTCAGGGGGACTCCTGGTGGCCAGATCTTCAACGTACTCCAACAGGAAGCCTAACAGTTTCTGAGACAAACGGATAATATTTAGAGTTCATACTGCACCAAACGCAACCTAAAACTGGCAAAAGAGACAGCACAATACATAAGGGAATATGTAGCCTACTATAGCGTACCTGCAGTTTGAGCTTATTGCCTACAGCCAGACTAGCATGGTTGCTTTTCTGAGTCCTGGCCACGATGATGCGCTGGTTGTCGGGGGTGTGACCCTGCAGCAGATCCTTCAGGTCGCTAAGGCTCTCTGGAGCTACAAACACAGAGAATGGGGGTCATATAGATATCAGATTTACTCAAAATGCGGAAATGTCTCTATTTCTGATGATGAGCAGAGATCAACTCCAATAGAAAATGCAAGTCAAAAAAATAAAAGTAGTTTTTTTTACATTTCGTTGACATTTTATTTATATTTGTTGTGTGTGTAGTTACCAGTGAATGTGTACGGGAGCTCTGCCTTCGCGGCCTCCTGCTGGGCCTTCAGCTCTTCTGTGCTCAGACTCGGTTGGGCGCTGGTCTCCTCTTCCTCCTGTTGTGTCTCCTCATCCTCGCTTTCTTGCTCGGACTCAAGGTCAGAGTGCGCATCTTCTTCTTCTTCACTACTGCCCTCCTCCTCCTCCTCTTCTTCTTCTTCTTCCTCATCCTCCGCCTCCTCTTCTTCATCTCCCTCTTCTGCCTCTGATTCCTCCTCCTCTCCCTCTTCTTCCTTTCCATCCTTATCTTCCCCTTTCTCCTCTTCAATGTTCCATTTTCCATCCTGGACACAAAATGTATTAGTTAAAATCACATTCTGTATTAACCTTTAAAGAAAAAAGGTGAAGAATATTCCAGAAATAAACTGGTTCTTTATCAAAGAAACCCTTCTTCTAGCTTTGCGTTGTCCCTTACCTGATAAGAAAGGGTCTTCTGGTCGTCCTTATCCAGGATGAAGCCGTCGTTGAGGTCATCAGCTGACATGTGAGTCTGACTCTGTGAACTCTCCACGACCTGATCTCCCATCATCCTCCTCAGACGGTCCGCCTGGAGAAAAACAGAGCACAGGAAATCTATTATAACAACTATCGTAAAGTATTAAGTATGACAAGACATTTTTTGGTATCGTGACAAAAAATATGAAACAGCTATCCTGCGATGCAAAGATAGATACCTCTAGTTTCTGCAGCTTCTCCCTCTCCTCCCGGGCGACCTCCTCGGGGGTCTTCAGCTTCTCTGAGGGCTGAGCCTTCATCTCGAACACGAGCTCTCGGACCATCATGTCATACTGTTCCAACTGGAAATGCACAACGGAGAGAGAACAAAGAAATATCAGGCTCTGCCACGAATATCTTTCAGGTCATTTCATGGTGAAACATACATTTTCAAAACAAGATATCTTTTATTTGTCCCACAGTGGGGAAATGTACCTTGGGCTTCTCCTCCTCGACACGTTCCGCTCTGGGAATCTTCTTCACCATCAGAGCCTGGATGTTCTTCCAGTCGTGATCCAGTTTCTCCGTCAGCTCCTGCGATTCCTCTTTCTGCACCTGTCGGTCTCGCTGAATAATGGAAGAAGTTAATTCTCTGTTAGTTAAGTTATTTAATATATAAGGCTGATGGGGAAACGAAAAACAAATTAAAGTGTCAGTACTTCCAAACTCTCCTAGCTTGTGGATTATTCAGTCCATTGGTTCCTACAAATTCCCCTTTAAAACACAGTTTACTTGCGTTTTAAAGGGGAATTTGTAAGTACTTCAATAATTTATTTGTAATAAAAATGAAATTACTTCCCAGCCTTTTGCTAACATTTATTGAAACACGAGTAAATGGTGCATTTATTTGGGCCTATTTCCAGTTGTGGATGTGCTGCACAAGCGACTAAAAAAAATAATATAATAATTGGCATATATTGATGTTGAACAGGATGAAAAGGTCGTTGTGAAACTAATTGATCACAGTTCATGTTGTCGGCTCACCTTATCCTGCTTGGACTTCTGGATGAGCTCTTCAATCAGCTCTTGTCTGGATTTGGCCCTCGGGGCTCCTTCTTCCCCCCCCTCCTGGTCCCCTGATGTTTTCCTTCTGAGGAGACCCCCTCCTCCAAAGTGGGAGGCAGTCAGCTCGGCTAGATGAGAAAGAGAAATAGTGTCACTATTATGAACTAGCTCTCTATAACATGGCTTAAAACATCCAGTTGGTGGCTGGGAACGATTAACCCTCAAATTAACAACCACTACATTCATAGAATTAAGTTTAAATCATATAAAGTTGGTATATGTATGTTTCTAGTTTTCAAATATTTTTTAAATTGCAACACACAGATTTCTGTACAAATATTGACAAGGTTTGACCATGGCAGGCTTTAATGAAGAAGTAAACACAAACAATCAGATGCTGAATAATTATAAGCTTCTTCACAAACAACTGAAGCTCTGAACAGCTGGTGTTCGCAGAAATGCTCACCTGACAGAAGACCTTTCTCTTCTGATTCATCATCACTATTCACGTTGTCATTGAATTTCTCCATCTCAGCCAGCGACTGGCCGTAATGGGTCAACTCCTCCTCCTCGTTCAGGTTGTACACATCCTTCTTGTCATGGTTACGCTGAACAAAAAAACAAAGATTGTCTGAGAGTGTGGTAAACATAGTGACATTTGTTGCGAGAGTAATGATTAATCCTGTTAAATTAAAAAAGTTACAGAAGGAACACATGCGGTAGGGACAAACAGACCTTAGGCAGTAATGTTACTAAATGCACATCATGACATCACTGACCTGTCTCTCCATGGCGAACCTCTGCAGGATTTTGTCTTCTGGTGCCATATTGGTGTCATACTCCCCAAAGCGTCTGTCAATGAATTTGCTGGACTTGCCCTTCTGTTTGTATTCCTTCAGGAGGGTGTCTTTTCTCTACAGATCCAAAACAAAAATTGCATGTGATTTACGTCCATAAAACATTACAGAAATGTCCCCTTTGAGTAAGAATGTTCAAGCTTCACTGATCAGACCTGACAAGCAGAGAAACGATAAATAGATACATACAAAAACATAAATAATAACAGCATTGAATCGAGTGTGCAGCCTAAACTTTAAACCTCACTTCAACTTCTTAGTGCCTGCAAAGCTCTCAGCCTTTCCTGCAGAGAATCCCTCACTCAGCATGATACTGTGAGCACCAGGCTTCACAGCACAGAAAGTGTTACATGGATGATGAGCTGTGACCCAACATGGCTGAGAGATACAGTGCGACAGTAGAAGAACCTTCATTTATATATCATTTTACCAGACTGCAGAATATTCTCTGTTTGTAGAATGAACACCAAACCTTTGTTCCTCTGAGTAAACATCTGAAATATATTATCCCTCATTTAAAATCTCACTGTTTATTTATTTTTTCACATTCACTCAAAATAACTAACCAAACGCTCTAGACAAAATGAATTATATAAAAATATGTTATTGATCTTGTGTTATGCAGCTTATGTGAAACATGTTCTTAGTTTATATGAAGTGCTGTCAAAATCACTAATGGTGTGTAAATGAGTGTAGAAACAGAAGGTAGCTGAATTAGTTTTGGTTGTATAGTTACTTGCAGAGGGAGAATCTGGTTAAGTTGTAAGAAATATAAAAACATGAGATTTCCTCTTACCTTATTAATGGCTTTGGATCGAGACACACCAGGCAGACCCACATCATGCTTGGATTTCTGCCCCAAAATTTCAAATTTCTTCCTGTTGATCTTCACTTCAAAGGGGTTGTTTTTGATCTCAGTAGAGGTCTTGGTTTTGCGAACCTTGTCGGCCATGCTCCTCTTCTTTGGCACCTTCCCCATCTGTAACAGATACAATTTGTTTTTAACTGAAAACACTGACATTTAAGACCCTGATCATCTGAATTAAATGTCTGATTATATACAAAATTAAGTATTAAATTACATGACATTTTGAGTTGTTGCTGCTATAACAGTGCACATATCTCCTGCATGAGTCTGGTTACAAGTTACACTGGTTAACGTTAGCTAACAGCTAGCCTTGGGGGCATGTTGGTTAACAATACATTTAATAGGTGCCTGTAACATATCCATAGAAGCAGAAGTATTACATGGGGTGAAGTCAATACGAGCAAAAATGCAAAAACTGGAGCTACTTTATAGCTAGCTAGCTTCATTTGGTGAGTCAACCGCTTGTAAACAAACGGACACAGAAGCAGCGTTTACCTTCCAGCCGGATTGAGGAGTCGAGTTATTAAATCCAGACGGAAGAAAACATGAGACAATAAGCCTCTGCCAACTGCAAATGTAATAAACAACACTTTAAACGTTTACTCTCCACGTTGTTTCCATTTCCAGCGTGCACAAGACTCAGGTCAAAGTTGAAAACAAGAAGGAAGCAGATAAGAGTGACGCAGATTCCCCACAGCGCCCCCAGCGATGGAAATGATATACAAGGAAATAGGGACCTACGTAGGCTACCTTTACTGCTGTAGTTAAAGGGAAGGTTACACGTTCATGTACCATTTCATAATAAGAACTTTTTAACCATCTTGTACTTTTACTGAATGTATGACCTTTACTTGTGTTTAAATAGAAGACCTGAATATCCATTCCACCACTGAATACACTTTACTGATAACCTTTACATCCATTATCAATCTCTTCTCTGCCAACTGGAAAACTCATTATTTCAGTTCAATGCACTTGAAGTGGCCCACCCATGAGTAAACTGGATATTAATTATATTACATTACATAAATGGAGACTGTTATTCAGGAGATGCAACACTGCAACAAAGTGTTTAACCAGGTGAACATGCTAGTAGCCTACTATCAATGTAAGCATATTAGCATGATGATGTGAGCATTTGGCTCAACAGCCGCAGAGATGCTAACTGGAGATTCAATAAGCCCAGTGGCCATACTGTATTAATATCACACCAGGCCATGAAATTATGGTAAATAAATACTATACCTAATGAAAGTATACATATATCTTTGTTTTTAGTCAACGTGAGATTTTTTTTGAATCCCCTGTATTTGTTTTTTCATCAACTAATAAACAGTTGAAAAAACTAAATGATTTATTTCTACTATTTTAGAAATTCTTGATGTATAGGCCTATTTATTTTACTAACTCACCAGTTATCCAGCATGATTCCCCTTTATATACTTCGAATGTTGACTCACATTATGATTGAGCACTGATGGAGATGGCTCACAGTATTATTCTACATTTCCACTGAGATTTTTTATAAATGACAACAATCACACAATGCTGATTTTCAAGGTAAGTGTTTGTTTTAATTCATGGTTGTAAAACAGCCAGAACTATGAGAGAAGAGAGGTGGAAGTATTATGTCTGTAGATGGTATAATGATGAGAAACATTTCAATTGGAAGAAGCTCAGACAGAGAAAACAAATCAGCATAGATGTGATATTTAATAAGAAAAACCAGACTAGGATGAAAACCATGTCTACAATGACTTTTAGTTTTGTTATCAGCACACTAAAGCTAAAATATAACTGAAATAAAAGGGTAGTTACAGTGACTTAAAGGACAGCACACACACTAGGCACTCTACAAATGCACACCTTCATGAGTTAGATATTCTCAGCTTGTATGCAATAGTGTAGATGCACCATCTGTCGTGAACAAAGGTTTATTCAGCGCTTCAGATTAGTAGAAGCTTCCCGTCACGAGTTAGATAGACTGAAGACTAAACAGTCACTTAACAGGAAGAATAAAAACAAGTTAGGAAGCAATGCATGGAGATTGGCCTTTGTATAAATGCCCTGCAACCTTAAGCACAGATAATTTGCGATACCATTATTGATTATACATCAGTGACATAAAAAAAAATGCTTTTCCAGTGTACATTTTGTCTATACTGCAGCTGGAAACACACAGGCATTCGATGTCTATTTGCTCATAGTGGAGTTTTGCACAGGAGAGTCCAGGTTGATAGTTCTGACATACGATTGATCATGCAGCTTCATAATAGTTTTACATGTTCTGTAGCAACTGTATCTATGTTAATGATAGTACATGTGGTCCAAATCCCAAGACAGTGGTTTATAAAAGAGGTTCACAGTGCTCCCTCACAGCAATCATAGTGAAAATACTTGTGAGAAAAAGCAACAAAAAAAAACATCATAAAAGAAAACTGAAATGTCACACATGTAGCTTTTCTGCCCGTTTCTGAGAAGGGGATAAACCAAAAGACAAAAGTAAAACAAATGCAGGCTTATATAATTAGAATAAATGAAAAACATTTAGTGAGAATTATTTTGTACACATTCCTTCATACTAAAGAATAACAGTAAATATATAATCAGCCCTTGGAATAATCAACAATGCTTGCTGACGCTTCCCGGGATGACTCACACGTTGTTGTGACCCACGCTAAAAATCTCTCAAACATTTCCATGTGCAGGTTTGCAGCACCGCAGAATTATCATTTTGGAGACATTTTAAAACCAACTTCCACATCATATAAAAGATCTAAAGCACTCTACGACATACCTGTAAGCTAAGGCTGTGTTAAATGCTTTAGGGTAGAAGATTGAGTTTTGAGACCCAGATGGGATTTAGCTTGAGGATGATTGAATGAAAAACAGGATTATGGAGACATTATTATAGACTTTGTATGACTGCATTTCCCCATAAGTAATGAACTGTTAACAACCCAACTGTAATTCTCCTGGCCTTTTAACATGTAATTACATGGGTGCACAGCTGCAGAGGTAAAATTAGCACTATGTAATTTGTAGTTCTTGCTGTCTAAATGTACCACCAGTTAAATGAGAGCACAAGCTTCTTCTGAATTCACTGTTTTTAAAAGACACATTTTTTTGTTGTTTATACAATCCCAATACATTCTAGTGGTTACAACAGTTTAGTATTACTCTTTAAAAAAAATGAGGGCAATAAAACCCTTAAACCTCACATTTAGTGTTTGGGCCTGTGGTAAAATACATGCATCAAAGGCCAGATGGAGTGGACAAGACAGAATGCATCACTCACAACTTAAAAAGCCTCTAATAATTAAAAACCTTTGCAATCAATCATTTTTACACTGTATACAAAATTGGCACACACTAACGAGGAAAAATAGGTTAATAAGCCCGCGACAAATGATATCAAAACAACAAAAAGCATAACTGTGTGTGTTACTGAGGCTTGCTCAAAGGGTGCAATGATAGCAGACAAAAAGCTGAAATGAAAAGAGGCAGCAGCAGCCAGCCGTGAGGACCGATCCAACATTCTCCAATCTAGGACTCCGCAGTCTTTTTCTTGTTTTTCTTTAGGAAGGAAGGAGTGCGGAACTTCTTTTTCTTTTTGGAGGGTGACTTGCTGGGAGACTCTTCTCCCTCCTGGTCACAAGCGTCAGCGGGTTCCTCACCCTCGGCTGCGTCTGCGGGGACAAGGGCGGAGTCTTCTTCGTCAGGAAGTGCCGGGGCATCGGAGGGGTCGTCAGGTGTTAAATCTGGAAGGGTCTGTCTCAGGGTGGCGGCGTCGCTCTCATCCTTATACGTTTGATCAGGCAAGGACTCTGTTGGGGGGAGAAAGGAGGGAGTTATTGATGGGGAGGGAGAAATTATAGCTCTGCGCCGCTGAGCTCACTCCCCACAGATCCACCGCTGAAGAAGCTGTTAAATTCAAGATGTGCTACTCCAAAAAAGCATTTACTTTAATTCCTTTAATTTTATAAAATCTATTAGAACTGAATAATTAAATCAGTTCAAGTTAACTTTGAGAAATATTAGGAATACAAAAGTCCCACTTCCAAAGGCAATATTAGGCATTAAATTAACCAAATAACACAGCAGCCGCCTTAACAGACACCTTTCCTCAAGCCAAACCAAGCGAACAGTCCTTCTTACATTACACAACAGAAAGGCATCTCTCCAGGACACTTATTTTGCTTCTTACCTTTAAAAATAAGCAATAGAAAATAAGCCTTTGCTCTCATTATTAGGGATTTTGTTTTCCTCCCCGGCTCCTTTTATTATCCTTATTCACACAGGCACAAGCTGGTACACAGCATGCTTATTTTACCTTCATTTAAACAGGCACATCTTAATGAGTGCAGTTCCCTGGCTCATTTGCACCCTGTGTACAAACAAACACAAATCAAGGTCTAAAACACAGAGAATATTGCAGGTGTTTTTCAAAGGCTTAATAACATAACCACACAAGCGTGATTACATAACAAGTTAGGGGCGGGTATCGAGTTAAATCAGTTCAAAACTGTCGCAGCTCTCATGGAGAGAGTTTAAATGAGGACTTGATTAATCGTTTGACAGCAAACAAATCCAGCTGCTGAGAGTATAGAAACCACTCTCACAATGAACTACAGTCTATCAATGATTCTTGAAATGATAGATTATATGTAGTAATGCTTAATTGTTACATAATCTAAAAATAAAGCATAAATCTCACCTTTGTGTTTGTCCAAGAATGCTACAGTAAACATCTGAAGAAGATTATGAACAAAAGAAAATGGCTACATGTTCTTAAACATTATACAGGGCAACATATGGGCCCGACAAAGCAATATTTAACACCTTTTTGCAGATTATCAATATTTTAATGTTAAGTCAGGAAGTGACGAGACCAATTCACACAGCTAAGCCAAAGCTTAAAATCTGCAAACTTCAGTGTTCAGCTAAGATAAAAGGTTGCTGGCTAAAAACGAGAAGCTGGTCCAATTCTGTCTGGAATCATGCACCCATCACCAGTTAGTTAGAAAAGCCTCTGTCATCCTTTAGAAATACTCCCAGCAAAAAGAGTTAAGAAGCAACAAGTGCTGGTGCTGCATCCAGAAAGGATTAAA